TCGCGACGTTGCCTCCTTCCGACTCTGCTCTCCGTCTCCGTGCCGCCGAGATCGGCAAGTCATCGCTGAAGCTCATCGACTTCGGCCTGGCCAAGCGCGGGTCCAAGAGATGAAGTGTAGAGACACCATGGAGATGACTGCACCCCTGAGCAACCCCAAGCTAGAAGTGTTTAGAGAGAAGGGGGTATAAAACGCGGCTGAAGGCGCTTCAAACCGGGCGAGCCGGCCCGCACTAAGGCGGGGGGCGGGAGCAGAGTGGCGGCGAGTAGCAAGCCGAATGCACGAGCTGCTGAGCTGCGTGCAGCGCTTCGCGAATCGAGGCGGGGACTCCCAACTACGTGGCACCGGAGGTGCCAAGTGCGTTGCTTCTGAAGTGGGGGGGGGAGTGGAGGAGGGAGCGCAGGGAAGCGCAAGGAAGGGGTTGCATCAGATTTCTGCCTTGCAACGTCCGTCGAGCCATTCCGCAGGTGCTCTCTGGACGCTATGACGAGAAGGTGGATGCCCAGAGCTCAGGGGTTGTCACTTCAACCTCACGGCAACTCGGAAATCATCAACAACCTGCCATCTGATGTGGACATATGTGGACCTGATGCTGAGACTTGGAGTGTTGGAGTCATCGCCTTTCTCCTCCTCTCTGGCAAGCACCCCTTCACCGGGAAGACGGTTGAACAGGCTCGTTGTCAAGATCTGAAAGTAGAGGTCCGTGTTTCTTGTGTTTCTTGTTGAATGTTGCCGGTCAGGTCCTTCAGAAAGTGAAGAACGCATCGTTCGTCGGGGCCGCAAATGGATCTCTCTTGCTTCGTCTTCCGCAGTTACCTCAAGTTTCGCCCAGATCACCGATGGAAAGCATTGGAAAGGGGTGTCGGCTGATGGGAAAGGCTTTGTGCAGGCACTGTGGGGGGGGGGGGGGGAACCTCTACAACGTAGCTTTGAGTTTGATGTTCCAACAGTCAGGTCTCGGGAGGGACGAGAGCGCTGACGGACAGATAGCCCACGGTAGCTTTGTCTTTTGTAGTGATTCTCGTGAACGCCGTAGGCGGGTGCTGTGAGGGCCTTATGACATGTACCGGCAAACAGACAATGCAGAACACAATATGCTCGCCAGCGAAGTCTGAGTCCATGTGATGCATAGCAAATAGATATGTCAGCGTACATCTAATACACATGTTTCGTCGCGGCCACTCATCCCTTCCGCCATGCTTGCACCTGGAGCTTGGCTTTGCAGTGTTTGTAGGTCTTGGGCATACAAGGATAAGAAACGGCTGAGGGTGCCTGCAGGCATAGAGAACCTTTGCCTGCGCTGTCGCAGGCCTGTCTGCAGAAGGTTCCCATGGCGCGACCGTCTGCTGGAAGCTGCCTCAAGCATCGATGGCCGCGCGGCAAGAAAGTCAGGCAGAACATGGCGGGGCAACGAATGATGGAGTCGGCGAGCGAGAAGGCAGGTAGGTAGTTTTATTCTTCTGTGTGTCTTTGTAGCTGCGTGCACGCGTTTTTTGTTTAGCATCTTGATCGTAGAGCAGAGTATGCTAAACAAGCACCTGTACCAAGACCATCCCCTAAACTTCGGTCAAACCTTTGCCATTTGCCAAATGAAGCCAATGCTGATATGGAAACCTCAGTCTTGTGGCCCCACGAATCTGAGAGCTTTGTGTTTTGAAGAATGAAGAGTGCAAGCGGTGTTTCGAGCTTCGTTTGCAACATTGTCCTTTGTCTTCTTTCCGTCTCTCTTTGTCTTTTGTCTGTTTTCTCTTACACTCCCTGTTCTGTCGCTCTTTCTACCTCTCTTCCTCTCTCCCTGTCTGCGCCAGACGGCCAAGCCTTGTCTGATCTGGTCTCGTTCAAGCTTAGTCGAAGCCGTTCGTTGGTGTCTGCGTTGCTGAAGACCTTAGAGTCAGACGGTGGCCCCACAGCGCGAGCTTTCACGACTTTTTCGTTGTCACTTCTCGTGTCAACCGGCGGCAATCTACACTCCGAGGATCGAGCGCTTGGCGGAGAAGGACATGGATGGCCCGGTGATCGGCCTTCAAATCGAGGGCTTGGCTGCGTTCGGGCGCATGCACAAGCTGAAGAAGGCTCCGGCGACTGTGATGCGGTGACTGCGACGCCCGACTTGTAAAGTGTGCAACGAGTAACGAGAATCCGCAGAGAACCCAACAAGTCACGAGATGCTGAACACGCCAGTGGCAGGCTGTCGTCACAGTCATCGCAGCACAAATGTCGGAAGAAAGGACACCGGGGCCTTGTGGAAGATTTGTCGAAGCACGGCCTTCGATGTGTGTATCGTTCAGTTTGCGATTGCAAGGATAGATGAACTGCGTCGGATGTTCATGACAATGGACAGAAATGTGCTCCACCCGCTTGCTGCTGCACGCCCTGCGCAATCATGGGTATCATGCCTGGAAGTGTGGCAGGGAGATGGAACTTTGACGGTCGTAGAGGTCAAAGACGCCTTGGACAAGGCTGGCAGTCACGATCCATGTCCAGTCTTCATTGTGGCTTCTGCAGACGACGAGAGCAGGATTCAAGTCGGTGGGCCTTGCGTTGGATCCGGGTGTAGCTGATGTAGCCACCTGAACAGCAGTAAAATCTGGCGGCAACATAGCCTCGACAGGCCGGCATCGCAATGCCGGGCAACATGGAGCAGCTGTTGGGTGAGGTCGGGACGCAATCCATTCAGTAAATCCGCGGTGCAGGCATGTCTAGGCTGCAAATCAGGCTGACACAGACGGCTCGGGAGTCATCGACTACACCGAGTTTCTGGCAGCAACTCTGGACAAGAAGGTGTACGTCCAGGCCTGCATACTCAGGAGTGATGGACAGGCACGAGCCTTGTTGATGCGAGGAAGATATCGTGTGGACGGCATTCAAAAAGTTCGATTTGGACAACAACGGGAGCATCGACATGAAGGAGTTGGCGCAGGCCAGGCGATGGACCTTAGATTGCCTTGGCGGGATGATTGCTGGAAGACAACCTAGTCCACCGTGCCTTCCTGCTTTCTACCTCCGATCTCGCTTGCCTTCCACTTCACATGGCGAAAAACATATTGTCGAGGCGATGTGTCTGGAATCTCGCGTTCAGGGATGTCGGTCCTTCTTTTGTGGCTTGTCCAAGTGGACCTCCGATGCTCATACGACTCTTCTGAAGCTTCCTCAGAGGCCTCTCTCTCTCTGGCCTATCTGACACAGTATGTGCGGTCGGCATAGGTCATCGGTGACGAGCAAGTGGTCGAAGCCATGAACCTCAAAGACAGCGCCAAAGATGCATTACCGCGCAAGAGTACATTGGTCAGTCGCATTCCGTAGTGTGCCGCAAGAAGTCCTCCTCGAAGACCACCAGGTGGAGATGTGGGCAGTTTAGTCCACATCTTCGAGCAGGTGGACAAGAATGGCGTGCGGAACTCATGGGCTGGCAGGGCTAAGGCGTTGTGGTATAGCGAGAAAGATATATTGCTCATGATCAGGACGGCAAGATCGACTTCGACGAGTTTTTCCAGATGATCCGTGGGGTGGAAAACAGCTGCCAGTCGCCTTCGGGCTCCTCCGCACCCAGCATCAAGCCCGGTGGCCGTGATTCCCCGACCCACAAGCAGAAGGAAGAGCAAAGGCTTAAGATGAGCAGTGCCCCTGGCATTTTTTCTTTCTTGGCTTGGCGGTTCACGCAGGGTGTTGGCAGAGAGCGCGCGACCCATGACAGGCTTGCTGGAAGACTTCGACGAGGACGATGGCGGCAAAGTGCAAAAGAAGGCACGGTTTTCCTGAAGGGATTGCAAGGCACTGCGCATTCCTTAACCAGTGTCGAGCGCAGGCCAGCTTGTCTGCCAAAATCCTGTACTGATGAGGGACAAAGTGCCCTCTCGCTGCTCCGGTCATGAGTCATGAGAGTCCGCCTGACCATGCCAACGCCGACTTGTTACAGAGAGAAACTGTTTAGACTGTAGACGGTTTCAGGTGACCGGAAGCCAGGAAGTCGCAGAACCATGCGAACACGCGCTGTTTCACGCTCGGACCGAACCGTGGCCTCGAAGAAAACATCTTTCTCTACGCTCCACCTGCCTGTTTTCCCCGGGCATAGAATCCTTGAGCCTTCAACCGCAAACCTCGAAGGGTAAAACGGACATGGTACAGTAGAGATCGCGATAGGTGTGTGAATATACATATAATTTATGCTCATGCAACTGATCCCCCTACCTGTTTGGAATGCTTGGAGTTGGAAGTGTTTGGGAATCAGCATATGCATATATACATCTTGTTGCAGCATGCACTATTGCAGAGAGCAGGGGGTGCTGCTGCGTCGGTGCACGCGGCATTGCCAAATTGCCATGGATCCTTGGCAGCAAGGCCCTCACGCGCGAGCACCGAAGATCGAAGGCAACACCATCACTGGAACCTTTCAGAAAGTAGATGATTCATTCTAAGGTGAGTGCGCCCTTCAGGTCCCAGTGGAGACATAGTTTCATGAAAACCTTGTCAAGAGTGCGCACTGCAGTCACGGTCCAAGATTTCTCGATTCAGTTTAACGCCCAACCTCTAGGGCAGAAAGTGTAGAAGGGCGTTTTTCTGTTGCGGAGGCTGTTGTGCTGCTATATTCGAGGTGGCACAGAGCGTTCTTGAACTCCTTGCTAGGGGCTGGGGACAGTTGCTCTTGGTACGAGGATGCAAAGGAAGAGTGTGGAATGCTCGTGTGGGGGCTGCTGTACGTGCTTGCTTCGAGAAGTGCGTGTGGTGATATGTTGGTTTGCGCTTCTTGGGATCGAGTTGAGTTTGCCTCAGAACAGTAGGCTGTAATGAACTCTGAATCCGTAGATCCTGCACATCCGAAGCTTAGGTGTCCGTCAGTGTTTTTTCGGTGTCAGTGTCAGTGTTTCGTGTAGGTTTGAAGGGGCCGATTCAAAACTTTCTGAGCTCCGGGCCGACAGTGCCGTGATCTATTTGCATGGTGCCTGCTTGTGGCAACTTGTGGCTGATTGTCAGCTTGGCTCAAGTCCGCCGTCGTCAGCCAAATGCCAGTCCGACCCCTGCTTGGTTTCGAATGCTGGCTTTTCACAGCCTTCGCTGCAACCTCTGGAGTTGCTTTTCGCCACGATCGACTCGGTGATGCTGTCTCAAGCAACTGCGGCCGACTCGACGGATGCGAGTGTTGGCAGCAGAAGGTCCAAGAAACCGGGGGGGGCCTTGTGCAACCGGCGCACGAAACGTCGCTGTAGGTTTGGCTGTTCCCTGAGACAGGTCTGCAGCTCGTGCACACTGGCTTCGTGCGGTATCGATCATGTTCTAAGCGTTCGGCCTCTTCAAGGTGGAACCAATCGCTTGCGCCCGGATTTAGCTGCAGCCTATGGTTTCGAGGATTCTCTCGGTAGACACTGGGCACTGAAGCTCGCGGACCAGGAGGATGGCTCCTACGACCGTTCCGTCCTGGCTTCCCAGCTAGCCCACACACTCAATGTGCCGACACCGCGGGTGCTACAAGTATCCATGGCATCTTGCCCTGCAGTGTTTCAGCACAAGGACTTGCAAGAGGCAGTCGCAGAGTTCCAAAGCCAGAAGAGGCAGTGGGCGTTGTTGCAGGACTGACACTAAGACAGACTGTTAGGAGAACCGCAACTTCCGGCGAAAAAGCAAGTTGGCTTCCCGTGTTGCACTGCTATCAGCTCCTGAGAGGAGTTTGTGACCGAGAACCAGGACCTGCCATGCGCCACTCGTGACGCTGAGCCGTTTTGGGTGCAGGTGGGTCAAATAGCCATGTTTGACTGGCTTACAGGCCGCAGCGATTTGTTCAATGACTTGTTGGTGGGTGGAGAGGCAGCCCTGGCAGAAAATATGGACGTCAACAAAGACAACATCAAAACGACGCCCTCGCAAGCTGTGGAGATTGATTTAGGCTTCTCCGAGCCCTGCTGCTTAGACGATTTCGTCGAGATTTTGACCCAACTGGGGCAGAGGAGGGTGGACTGGGTTCCCTCGCACATCCTGGTACTTATGTGTGAGGGCAGGAACGGTGGCTTGGGCTCCCTGACGTGCTCCTCGGCCTTCGGACACTATTCGCCCCTAAAGTCCAAAGGATGGCATCCGAAAATCTCCGAACTCCAGGTGGGCGGGGCGGCTCTCCGACAACTCTCCCACTTTAAAAAAGCCGCCAAGGCCGCTAAGGCTAAGGCTGTCCGGGGAAGTTCTTATTATCCCTGAATTAATTGAGGAATATACCTAAAATACCTTCTATTTTATTGTAGGACCATTGTAGGATCCTTAATATGATTTAAGTTGGCATGTGAGCATTCCTCGCCCTGCTCAGATCGAGCGCGGCCTCGCCCAACTCGCCACGGCGGCCCTGAACCTCACAGGCCAAGGTGTGGAAAAGCGCTGAGGGTTATAATAATAGTTATTGTTATTATTATTATTGTTGTTATTATTGTTAGTAGTATTCTGGTTCTGGTTCTGGTTCGGTCCGTAGTGCCCATTTGGGCGCGACCCAAAATCTGCAACTAACTGAAAACGGTGAAACAGCAGAGTCCCTCATCCGCCCCGAGAAAAGGAAGAGGGTTTGCGAAGCCAAAAGTCCACAGATAGGGCTCGCTGCCCTTCGTGAGAGGCCTGGGCGACATAGTCAGAAATCCAGGCTACATCGGCAGGATGTGGCCTGTAAAGCTGACAAATCCGCGAGAGCAGGAGGTCGTCCTCTTCCAAGCCTGACACGGCTTCAGCATAAATCGGGAGTCTGGGTCCGAACATTGGTAGCGGAGGCACCGCAGCGGCAACGCTATCCCAGTGGCCGTGCTTGACCCTCTTACGCCTGTCATGTTCCTCTTTCTCAACCCGGCGAATGTCATCTAAACCCAAAGGCCGCATGACGTGAACCAACCTCATCAAGCAACTAGGCGAGTGCTTGAGGTGGTTTTGTGCGCGAGGTATGGTGTGATACCAGCGCATGCAGGATTGGCAGTAAGGAGCGGACGTAAAGTGGCGAGCAGGACTCAGTAGTCCGTGCTTGCGGGAGAGATGCACGGCCAAATGTTTCCTTAGAGGGAAAGCTGCGGGACAGACGGAGCAGCGGTAAGGAAGGGGAACAGGTGTCGCAGGCACCCCGCCTTCATCCTGCACTGGACGGACAGGTTGTGTGGCCCACCTATCCAAGTCCCTTCCATATTCTTGGATCGCCCGCTTGATTTGTCCAGTCCACCACGTCGAATCTTGCTGGAAGCTCTCGATCACCGCGGTGACCGGACAAGCAGAGTCCAGAAGGACGCGGGCAGAAGGAGCATAGATCGACACTGCTTGGATATCAAGCAGGAATTGATGCAGCCATGAGCGTGTCGGGGAAGCACGCCAATGTGCATGTAGGAAATGCAGGAGTGTAGCTGGTCCAACCTGAAGAACCCTTAGGAAGAAGGAAGCTCGAGCCTGAGCCATGGCTAGTAGTGGCGAGGTCGCGCCTGCATCTCGCAAAACGGCAAAACTGTGAGCCTGTTTTTCTCCCTCACACCTTTTTTGCAGACCACTCCAAAGCTGTACGTAGAGACGGCTCCAGGTTCGACGATGCACCGTAGCTCCCAAGTGGAGAGTGGAGCTGGCAAACGTATACTTGGAGAGAACCAAGGACCGAAGTAGAGTGCGGCGAAGCTGCAAAGAGAAGGTGGTGGATGAGAAGAAACGCCGTTTGAGCGGCTTCAGAAGGGCCAGAGCCTGCGTGTATCGGAATCGGATTTCCGCTTCAGGGGTGGTGTTAGCGACAGCTATGGTCCCCAAGTGCCGATATGCCGAGACGACGGGGACCCAGTGTGTCTCCTCAGTCAGCGCATTGTAGACATGAAGGCCAGGGGCGCCCTCTTGGTTCCAAAAGATGACGCCATCAAGCTGTCGTGGGCAGTCAGATGAGAGGAGGATAGCTGTTTTGTCTACCCCATAGGCCAAAACCATACCTGCAGAAGTCGCGTGAGTGGCGATGATGCCGAGTGCCCGCGACACGGAGGTGCATAGAGCAAGGGGCCGTGCGGCGGACTGCGCAAAGACGTAGTCGTCCGCCCAAGCTGGCAGTCCCGCGGATTCCGGAATGTGCCAAGAGTGCCATGGGGCCTGGTCCGAGACCGTCGGCATGACAGTGTGCTCCCCGGCACGAAGAAGAGCACGCTCGGCAGCCCGGCAATAGGCAGCAAACGAGTATGCAAACAGCAAGTCTGCCAGTGGGTCGCCTGGGCGCGAGCCACGTCGAGTAAGCACCAAACATGATTCGGCCTGGAGCCTGAACCACGAGCCTCGAAAGAGGTCGCAGGTCTGTGCAATCAAATGTGGGGACACTCGAGCGTCCACCATGGTGGCCATGGAGCGGAGATGGTTGGACAGTTCACCTATTGCCTGCTTCGGAACCCCAAGGTCGTGCAGCAGTTCCAAGAACTTGGCATCGGAGGGGGTAGATTCACCATCACCGCATGGCACCAGCGTCTGACGAATGACTCGGTAGAAGGCCGTCCGCAAATCAAAAAATGCCAGTGCCGACGGTCGTTTACAGCTATGAGCCCAGTGCTGGTAGGCTCGAACTGTCAAGCTGATGTTGTCGACTCCGACTCCGGACAATTGTCCTCCTTGGGTGTCGGGTTTGAAGGCGGCGAATGGGCCGATCAGCTTGTTGCGGAGGATTCTGTGATGGGCCTTAGCCGGAATGCTCTCAAGCAGGACAGAGCGGAACGAAGCACACTGTAGAGCTGCGCCCGCCTTCTTAGCCAACGCCATGAGGCATCCTCCGCGCCACTCACATGGCTCTCGTAAGCCCATGGAAGACTTCAAGCAAAGAGGCAGCAAAGAAAACGCAGCGCCCGGAACGTCGACTCGCAATGCTTCGGCAGTGATGCCGTCAGGTCCTGCCGCTTTGCCTGTCTTCAGTCCCAGCAGCTGCTGCTCTAATTCATTGAGCGAGGGAATCGCACGCACATCGAAGGGGCAGTCCTGTGGGATGGGAATGTCCGGATTCCGAAACGCGTCACAGTACTCAGTAGCCGTCACGGTGACACCGCCCTCTTGCGCACTGAAGTGGCTGGTCCATGCATCCGCCTTCTCCCTCCGCGTTGACGCTAACATGCCGCCTTCAACAACGACTGTGGGTAACGGCTGGAAGGCTTTGCGCCGCCCTGATCTGGCATCTGGGAAAGCACGGCGTATCGCCGCATACAGTGCGCGCGGGTGTCGGAGATCTTGTAAAGTGACATCTTTTTGCAGCTGTTCCAGGTATGTGTGGCGGTCCCGTCGGACTGCTGCTCGGATGGCTGTGGTGGATTCATCCAGGAGCTGAAGGGCTCTGGCTAAACTGACATCGATTTGTCCTAGCCAGGAAACAGCTGTAGAGCGCGCGGAGGGTGTGAACTCACGGCCGGTCCAGAGCAGTCGGAAGCCGGCAAAGGCTATGACTAGGAGGCGGTGGTCACGCTCACTCTGTTCTGCCTGGAGGTAGCGTCGTAGTGCTCGACGCCGTTCCACAAGGCTTAAGGTGTCTTCCGTCAGATAAGCTTGTGTGGAAGGTGCGCGCTGGGCCTCGCAGAAAGGCTCCGCCACATGTCTGATACATCCCACCCATCGGAGGTAGTGCTGATCGACCGGGATGGACCAAGGGATGGCCGTCATGACACCAAGCTGAGCTGCAAAAACTTGTGGTGCACTGGCCTTTGATTGCTTCGCGGGGTAGGTGTGCTCGTTGGCGATCTGGCTTCGTTCGGTGGACTGGGGGTCGCAAGAGCTGGACCCGAACCCGGCGAAAGGATGTAGGGATCCTTCAGCACTGGACCAGGCGTAGAAGGCGAGGTCGAAGTCGGTCTTGTAGCCCTGGGTGGGGTTTCTGGTGCCCCAAAATGTGGTCGATGTGGCGGCGTGGGCGGCATGCCCGCTTCCCCATCCCGGTCGGACTTCTCCTTCGTCTGAAGGTCCGCCAGAATGCGTGTAAGATCCTGTGTCAGCGCCCCAGCGGTTGACATGTCTGTGTCCTCTTCCGCATGACTCTCCCGCGAGCTGCCGGCTCTGTTCGGTGCCGGTGCTGCGGTCGCGCGGAGTTCCGGCAAGGCGGCCTCCTGTACTTGGCGGTGAGCTGCAGCTTGCTGAGCTAGGATGTCCTCGATCTCCTGAGCAATCCGGAGCTTGTCCTGCTGGTGCCGAGTCTGTTCCTGCTTCAGCGTCTGTTGTAGTTCCACCACATAGTTGGCCCAGCACACATCCTTGTGCTTGAGCTCGGCCTGGAGGCGCTGTAACTTGGAATCCAAGCGCCTGGCATGATTGAGGGCACTCTGTACTGATTGAACCAACGTAGGCTTCTGCTCCGTCCGCTCGGTAATCAGTCTGCGTTCCTGTATAGGAACCATTCCGTTGGCATCCTTGGGTCGGGCATCGTAGGCTGGGAATCTCCCGGTGTCTTGGACTTTGTCCCTTCCCTTGCCTTGGCCCTTGCCCTGCTTGGGCGACTGTGACGAACGCCACGATCCATGCCAATAGTCCCACTTTTTGGCCTCCCCCTCTTCGGTTTTGGCATGCCATGGTCGGGAGGACTTGCCCATCCGTAGCTCGATGCGCTCGATGACTTGCTTCGGAGTCGCGTGGTGCGAAGCAAGAACCCAGGCCTGTCGCCTAGGGAGTGTGGCACCCTTCTTGAAGAGGCGCCGTGCACGAGCTCTGCGGGCTCGTAGTCTCCTGTGCCACGTCGGAGAGCCGAGGGCACGTATGGCTGCGAACGCTAAGGCGTTCTGGGGCTCTACAATGTTCTGGCGCTGCTGCCAGCAATTTGGGCCCTGTTAGTAGTATTGTTAATTATTCGTCCTAGAGGCTCAGTTTACACAAAGTTCGATTATCTCTGACAGAGAGATGCAACTCGCGAGGCAGTCAGGCCTGGTCCTACCCTGTGTCGGCAACCTTAAAGCTTCTCCAAGAGAAATGGTCGAAGAATGACGCGCAAGCTGTGGTTGATCGGCTACGAACCCAGGCCGGCGATGCGGCACAGTTGGCCTTGCACGGCATAGAAGTGCTCAGAGTTGCAGGGATTGTATAGGCAGGGGGGGTATTTGCAGGAGCAAACGGCGATTGGAGCTATCGCGACGGACCAAAAATGCTGCAGCGTGGTGTGTCAGAAGAGTCGTTTCTGGACGTGGCACCACTGTGGCTTGGAGGAAGCTGAAGTCTACAAACACAACAGAAAGTCTAATCACACTCGAAAGTGTTGAGTGCTTTCATTCTCGTAGGATTCTCGCGGCTCCCGATCTGTAACGTGCAATCGCGTTGCTGAAGGGTAGAGTGCTCACGCCGACCTGACTAAATTGTGCTCATGTTATCGAAGGGGTGCTTTGACGATCGCACCTGACCTTCATTGAATTCTGTGCTCCTTCTCGACGAGCACAGGACTTTCCTGCCCATGGTGTTTCTTCACGAGGATCACCAAAGACCACGGTTCACTAGCGGGCAGTTCTCGGAGCTTGTCAGCTGGTCGAGGGTTTGTCTGGGCAGCTGCTGTTTGTTGGAGCTGTCCAGCATGACTAAGGTGGTGAAAAAGCTCTGAAGACCGTGACGACCGAAGATGCCTGCAACATACACCTCTCTGTGCTTCGGCTGCAAAAGGCTTGCAGCTGGTAGGCCTGGTTGGCCCAGTCATGCCGCGCTCTGAACGACAGTCTCTGGATCCGAGGCTATCTCGATGCTGCTGCACTGCAAGCCAGTCTGCGGTGGCGCAACCAAAGTCTGGGGTTCCGTGAAGGAGAGCAAGGGTAGCTGTCCGGCTAGATAAGGAATTGCCGGATGCAAGAAAAAGGCAGCTGCAAACACTACATGTGACAACGACCGAACGGCTCTGGGAGAAACTTTGCTTACTCAACCCATGAAGCCAGGCCGGTCCCTTGACTTCTTCGGGGTGGCCGCCATCAGACTGGCCTGGACCCGAGAGAGTGGGAGCAGTCATTATGTCGCACACACTCGATGTCGCCGCCCGCAAACTTCTGCATGATCATGGACGCAAGTGTATATGCTCAAGCGATCATTGTGGGATGACATTTCAAGGCCAGGTTTCGGTCTTACCCCGTGTTCCGAGTTTGGAATGCACGGCGACAGCTCCTGTACCCACGTCCTGATTCTAAAGCTTGAGGTGCAGTGTGAGCAAGACACAGTTTGTGGCAGAGACCTGATGGGAACATGTCGCACACGAGCTGGATGGATACGGCGAGCGCTCCCACAACCCAGGTCGTACTTGCGGCGGTGGTCTTGGTGTCAGTCTTGTCATGTGTAACTCGTCACCAGCAACAACTTCGACGCTGGTTCAGTTGCAGAGGACTGCAAAGAACCCAAGATGTGATACCCCCATACTGGCAGAATGCGGGAAGATCGCTGCTTGAAGCACTGGACCGTTCGAGTCCAGACTATTTCGATGACATCTACCCAGTTCCACTTCAGAATCGCAGCATTTTGCAAGGCTTCTTAAACGAAACCAGTTCGAACACAGAGGTGCAGTTCAATTTGGTGCGGGCAGTTCGTGTGGAGCATTCCGGCTTGTGGTCTCGGTATCAGGACAAGGCTGCGGCTGTCGCGTCGCAGCGAAAGATCTTCAAGTTTCAGGGGACGGGGGCACCTTCGACGAACTGCGCTCTGGCCCACGTCGAAAGTGATGGCTGGGAAGGAGGCTTTGTACACGCATTAGACGAGAGTATCTGTGAGGCTTACTTGTTCCATGGCACGGACCCACATTCTGCATTGAAGGTCGCTCGGTGCAGCATGTTGTAGCATAGTTGAGTGGTTGGGTCCCCTCCTGAATCTGTTTTGCGGGGGCTCATGATCATTCTTCACTGTCCCTGAGAGCATTCGACCTGCCACTGCTCGTTATCTTTTGCTCCTTCACTTCGCTTGACAGATCGTGGAGAACGGCTTCGAGGTGAAGAAGAGCCGGGCTGGGAAGCGCTTCGGCTTTGGCGGCTACTTTTCGGAGGACCCGGCGGTGGCCGACCGCTACGCCGGGGAGGGCGAGGGCTTGTATCGGGCCTGCTATGCGCTGCTTCTGTGCCGCGTGCTCCTCGGGCGCCAGTATCGAACCACGAAGTTTCGTGATGAGTCTGTCACGGAGGAGGCTTTCCGTCAACGCTTCGACTCTGTCCTGGCAGAGCCAAATGGCCATCTGCACAGAGAGTTCGTCATCTTTGATGGCCACCAGGTCTACCCTGAGTATGCGTTGGTGTACGAGCGCCTGTCCGCAGATTGCTGGATATGCCCAAGCCCCGTCCAGCGCTACTGGGCTGATGAAGAAGCAGACAGCGCCGAGAGGGGCTCGTGGTCTTTACCGGCTTACTGGTTCCATGCTCGCGAGGAGTTGACTGGAGCTTTCCATGAAACGCATCCAGACCAGCAGATGAAAGCAGTGCTAGAGGACCTCATGAACAAGACCTGGCTGAGTGATCCAACTGGTGGTATACGCCCAGGGCATGCAGGGCATCACGAGCACGCCACTGCCAGGACCGTGGGGCTGCGGGTTCTCAAGGTCATCCGTGTGGAAGATTCCGAGATGTGGCGTGACTACAAGGCAGCACAGCGCAGGATACGGAACTGCAGGGGGCCACCTTCGTGTCCACCGCTTCATGTGCACACTGTCGAGGCAGTCAAAAGCATAAGAACATTTTGAGCTGTTGCCAGTTCCAGCCACTCTGGAAGGAGTGAGCCTGCATTGACTGTGTCCTGTTCCTTTGCCCCCACATCCTTTCTTTCTTACCTAGCTTATCCATTATATCCATACCCTATCATCATCGTCTGTGGTTATTCCGGTGACGTTGGCGAGCTTCTTTGCATAACCATGGTCAGGGCATCCCAGCAACTTGAATTGACAGCACCTCGGAGATTTTCGGAGTGCACCATGCTGCATCCTGCCTTGTTAGAGGCCTTGCCTCAGAGGGAACATCGACGACTCCACGAGGAAGTGAACGAGGTGCCAACCTCGGTGCCAGAAGACTCCGAAGCGACTTGTGACTTGTGAGAACTGTGCTGCGGGCCTTGCTGAGGTCTATTTGTTCTACGGCAGCAGTCCGCAGCGTGTGATGTACCTGGCACACCACGGCTTTCCACTAGACGGGCCCAGGCCCGACGAGGTCCTCTCTCCCGTCAGAGACAGAACGGGCGGAAGCGGAAGCGCGGGAAGCTCCCTTGAAGCCGATGCGGTTCCGGACGCTTTCAAACTCTTTGGAGAGGGCGCCTGGGTCCAACAGCGTTATCGAGCGTGACTGCTGGCTTGGCTGTCTTGTATGGTTGTGCACTGTGCGTTCTGCCCCGCGCGTCCCTGTAATGGTATCCCGGCGACCCGCTGTTTGAGTCGGCATGGAACTTGAAGCCTCGACCCTGCAGCCTCATCATTCCACCGAGGGCAGAGGGGGGCAGGGGCCCATCGGGGCGCAAGAACATCTCATTGTGCTACTTGTTCCCTCTAAGGCGCTTACCTCCACGAGGTGCCTTGGCTGCGAGAAGAGCCTAAGATTCCCTAGAGAGATAGAGATCAGATCTGGCTAAGTTTCAAACGTCTCTTTCAGAGCGCTAGCGAGTCGCCGAGCCGAGGATGCCTCCGAGGCGGACAAGCTTAGCAGCGACGACAAGGGTGGGTATTATCGCGGCTACTTTGCCATGCTACTTTGCCGCGTGACCTTGGGCAACGTCCAGATGTTGCAGAGCCCTGACCCAAAAGCTCACCAATGCGTGGGACCCGACCAGGACGGATTGCTGCTGAAAGCACAGGGAGGAGGTTCCACGCTGAAACGAGAGCCACGCTCTCGAGAGCAAACTTATGAACCGTGGTAGTAAGCAAGAATGGAAGACCAAAGTTATTGCTGAGAGTGGGAAGTCTAACCGTCATCACCACGAGTGATCGCCCCACCTCCAAATCCAACGCGTGACCCAAAATCCATGCGAGAGCCTGGTTCTTCACTCGGTTTGGCCCTGAACTCTTTTCTTGGAGCCGGTTTCCGTGTGGTTCAGCTGCCTCTGGCAGTCTGGGCCTGCGAGGCCTATGACAGCAGCTGTGGGATTTATGGAGATCCTCGCTCGAGCTCTGGCATGGCCCGGCGCGAGTTCGTGATTCGGGACACGGCGCAAGTCTATCCCGAGTATGCGTTGATCTATGAGAGACTTCAACGAAGTCGAAAACCGGGAAATGAGTCCGACTCCCTGGACGCCTGGGCAGGCGAGCAGCACATCCTTCCGAGCGACCGCATCGAGGGCCAGCGCAGCTCGGACATTTATTCGCAGGCGCAGGCGAGAGGGAGAGCGGGCTCTTGAAGGGTTTTCCGGAATGGCTGAGATCTGAGGCTTACTGCTCCTGCCTTGAAAGCCAAGACAACGACTCACGGAGAACGGGTGGACGAACCTTCGACTACTCCGCTCAATCGTGCTCGTGGAGAAACCGCCTTTGCGACGAAGCGACCTCAGTGGAGCACAGGGCGTGAAAGCCCCAGAGACATGCTCCGCTCTTTGCTGGAGTGATACTGGTAATATCTTGGGCAACACAGCTGTCGCAGGAGTCCAGCTGCGCAGCACTGCGTAGCGTAGCTGTGGCACCTGTAGCTGGTTCCAGGTTAGGTCTAGTCACGATTGGCCACGTCTTCTCCGAGCACAGCGACCTCGTTGAGGCCCAGGCTTTCCGGGCCGAATGCCGCCAAACTGCAGACGCTGTTCCATCGATGTGCAGAAGATGGATGCTGTGGCTTGCAGCAGTGAAATGCTGCTTCATGAACTGGGAGAGCTTTGCTACGAATGACAGTTCCATCTGCGTTCCACAAAGCGAGAAAATTGCAACACTGCATGCGGCTAGCCGATGCTGGCCTCCCTACTTGCTTCATGCTTTGCCATTCTCCCTCAAGTCGTGCTTGTTTCGCTGACTGTTTCGCTGACTTTGCTGTCAAGGTCAAAGAGAAAGAGGTCTGCAAGAGCCGCTCGGTGTCAAGCACCTTTGCTTTTCCCATGGACGCGTGATGCTTGCAAGATGTTGCAAGCACTGTTCTTAGTAGTTTTAGTACTGTTCTCAGTACTGTCCTCAGTATTGCTTTTACATCGAGTGTCTCATCGGACCCTCCATGCTCGACCATGCTCGACCATACAGTCTCTGCCACTCCTTGCAGCCTAAGAAGATTTAAGCAGCCCTAAGCAGCCTCGGGGCTGAGTGGGGCTGAGTCAGGAACTGGTGGTTCACATGATTGACGTTGCCGACCTTGCAAGGCGGGCGTTGTATGAACAGGAACACGAGAATCAGTTGTTCAGTCACATCGTGCGATCCCACATGAATCCACTGGCAGTCTGCTCTAATGATAAATATCCTTTGGGTCCCGTCAGCTGAAGAGCTCTGGGGACGGATCCGGCTTTGCTGGCGGACACTGCGTCGCTAAGCCCGGATGCGTGTGACTGCGGCTATGGGTCGGAAGGTGTCGGAAGAAGACCCGCTGCTTGCTTTCCACCTGGATGAAACAATGCTGCAACGTCGCGACGGCTGCTGAGCTTGAATTTGGAGCTTCAAACCGCTTTAACCGGTCTTCCGCCCGCGCCCCGCCCCCACCCCGCCCCCAACCCCGCCCCGCGCCACACTCGCCACATGCAGGTTTGCGCTGCCTCATGCAGCTGAGGAGGGACGTGGTTCAAGCATGTACCTTTGCAAGCCAGTCGTTGGATGAGCATGTCTTTGAGAGAAGGGTTGCCGCAAGAGAGTTCTTGGTTAAAGTCGTGCTGCTTTGCCAAGAATTCATTTACTAGAGCTCACCATGTCCAGCTTCGATGGATTAAAGCTTCCTGGCTCTTTTGCGTGGCCAACCACTGTTGAAATCCATCACCCCCCAGCACGACTTTAATAAAGAACTCTTTTGCGGCAACCCTTCTCTCAAAGACATGCTCATCCAACGACTGGTTCTCGGTGATGTAGGCAACCAGGTGTCTCGCCAGATCCAGCACTTGCAAAGGTGCATGCTTGAACCACGTCCCTCCTCAGCTGCATGAGGCAGCGCAAACCTGCATGTGGCGAGCGTGGCACAGGGTTGGGGGCGGGGTGGGGGTTGGGTGGGGGCGGGGCGCGGGCGGAAGACCGGGTAAAGTGGTTTGAAGCTCCAAATTCAAGCTCAGCAGCCGTCGCGACGCTGCAGCATTGTTTCATCCAGGTGGAAAGCAAGCAGCGGGTCTTCTTCCGACACCTTCCGACCCATAGCCGCAGTCACACGCATCCGGGCTTAGCGACGCAGTGTCCGCCAGCAAAGCCGGATCCGTCCCCAGAGCTCTTCAGCTGACGGGACCCACCGATATGACTGCATCCCCTTGGCCAACGGCATGATCGGTGAAGGCATGAGCTGCCAGCTGATTCACTACGTACATCAAGAGCACGACCAACTGTTCGAGGTGCGCAGGAACCTTGATGCCTTCATCGTGCATTGCAAAGCTGGTCAGATCAAGGCAGACGGGGGAGATCAAGCCAAGTTTGCTGATGGCATGCGTGCCCTTCACGCGTGGTTGCCAAGGTGGCCATGTTGAACAGGGGTTTGGAAGACCCGCTAGACGAGGAGGTGCCGGATCGGATGGGTGCGAACGACAACCATGCTGAAGAGCACTCCGTGGCGTTCATCGAGTTCTGTGTGAGCTGCGGCACATCCTAGTCTGGAGCTTGGACATCCAAGGGCGTCGGCAAGCAGTTGGAGGGTAGGAAGGTCGCAGGAGGGCAGCTCGTAGATCACCGGTTTTGCCAACACAATGTGGAAGGTGAGCTGCGAGACACCATGGTGTGGCAACGCACTTGCGGGAGCTATCCACAAGAAGCTCAAGGAGGGCGGAATCTCAACAGCGGCGGGCACAAGATCTATATACACGGTCTACAGCACGGAGGAACAAAAGTTCAAAAGCCTGATGAAGAGAGACCTGGTCCTTGTGATGCCTTCCTTGGTTTTGGCGGACGTGGACGAGCTCATCGGACTTCATTTCTGCTTCGCCCGAGGGCACACCCGCGGATCAAGAGAAGTGGATGGTCAGGGGGGTTCAACGGCTCGTGCGTCGGCATTTCCAAGTCTTGGATGTCCAAGTCCTGGACATGCCGACGCACGAGCCGTTGAACCTAAGTGCTCGGCTGCAAACTGCAGCTACACCGACGCTTCGCAGGAACATCTGAAGGTGGCTGAGGGACGCAGGTGTTTAATTTAATTGTCAAGAAGGCCAGGGAGACTTTGGACAAACTTCAAAGCCTGGTGAATGTATTCTGGTGGATCAACCTTTCATGGGTTTCTCGCACAGGTTTGGCCGCCTGTCGTTCGGAGTCAGGAAGCAGGCTGGTTGGACCTTGAAAGGTCCTTGAAATTCGCCGCAGCTGCGAAAAAAGTCGATTGCCATCTCAACGGGCGACGCAACAGGTTCGCACCGTGTGAGGTGCATCTCTTGCGCGTTGAGTCTTATTGAGAATCCCATCTCGCCCGGCACCCAAGCACCGCGAGCTCCCTGTGTAGAAAAGCCGCTCAACCGTCCTAGCAACTCAAGCAGTAACTAGAGACCCGAGGCCAAGCACCCTGCTACTTGCTCTGCTGCAGCTTCTGGTGGAATATCGCAACACTTCATCAACATAGAAGAAGGGCTTCACTCGCGTTCCCAAAGTCCAAGTGTATCATTCACTTCACGCAGCTCGTGTAACGAAGGATTGTTTAGGCAAGCCGCCTGGAAGAAGGCTGAAGGGGATCAGGCACTAATTGCTCTGTGTTGTCACCTGAAGGATCAATGTCACAAGCTATTTAGGCAAGACGTAGTTCGCATGCATGGAGTCTCGATTTGTCGTGGGCAGCTGGAAGTTCACGTGGTCTCTGCAGCACACCTGGCACCGGAATGAGGAGTGAAACAGCACCTCTGCTGAAGGGCTCAGCTACTGTTGGCTTCGACGATAGCAGTGATGGCAACTCCTTCCGCACGTTCACGCACTCTCCCAACAAGCTTCCAGCAGGTGGTCCCTCGACACTTTACGAGATCAGCTTGCACCGGTCACGGAAGCGGACACTTGAAAAGGGTTTTGATGCAAGGGGCAGCTTCGTGCACTTTGCCCACCGCAACCTGAAAAGCGTCGTCCAATTTGAGGATGTGCTGGACCGGCCAGGCATCCGAAGCTGCCTGTACCGAGCAAAGTGGTATAGGAGGCCAAGCATGGTTCGCTTAAAGAACTTCATGACCAGCACCTTCGTAACCCTCTGCTCGTTTGCGAGCCTGCTCGTCGCACTATTTTGCAGCGACATATATGCTTTTCTGGGCGCCCGCGCCTTAATTGTCATTTGCAGACATGCTCTAGGCCCGCATTATATCGCAAACTTGTCAAGCCTTGAGCCGGTGCGCATCATCTAACAACCGGACAGGCACCGGTACAGCGAAAGTGGCCAAGCTGTGAAGTCTCGCGGCCGAGGCTGCTGATAGCGCCCAGAGCGACATCCTTCTGTCCGCCGCATTTGTTTTCTTCTTGCTCGAGTTTCTTGGCAATGCTTTGTCCGACAAGCCTGGTCCTCAAATATTTGCAAAGGTCAGCTTCGCTTCAGATTCTTGGCTACGGCTCTGCACCTGTGCCCTTCCCCCGAAGAAAGACAGGACTTACCTGTTGAGTTTCTTCTTCTTCATGGACTTCCTTGGAACCTTCTCGCCTGCCCTGCATTGATTCAAGTCTCGGCTTAAAGTCTAGAGTCTAGCCCCTAGGCTAAATGCCAAATGCCAGGATGATCTTCGACATCTCTTACATCTGCGGCGCGGATGTCACCGCCTTCGACAGGCACCCCTCACAGATGCCCCAGAAAGGCAGAAAAGAGAGCGCCACCATTCCTTCCTAGTTGCTGAGGCTAGATCTGGAAGAGAACAAAGGAGGGAATGGCGCCTCCTGATCTGCAGGAAGTCTTTGGGGCTGTGATGCTGGGCCTTTGGCATCCTTTACGTCGTCGCTCCACACGACAAATCGAGGTGATGATCGTTCGGGCCGCGCGTGCTGCTCGCGTGGGTACTCGAGCCGGACGGCTCAGTCGCGCCCGGAGCTCATTTTGTGTAAGATTGCGAGGGCCGGATGTTCCACATACCACAAAGGCCTACCACAGTTCAGAGTCTGTTTCGGGAATGTGAGCGTCCCCGCACGAATCAACTTCTGTTTGAGCCGGCACTCTTGCATAAGGTCGCAAAGATAGTGCGCTTTTTATCCGGTGGGGAGGACATATCGCAAAGCAATGCCCCGGCCTTATGTTCGGATAGAACAAAAGCTCTTGCATGCGCAGTTTCCACGGCTGCTGATATTGCATTGCATGGAAAGCCGACGTGCATGCGCGACTTGATGCATGTAGGCATGTAGAGCAGGGTTTTTGCAAGGGTTTTGGGTGTATAGCCTCCTCAACTCGCCATGAATACATTTTTTCGCAACTCATAGCCATAGCGGCCAATTTCGAAGGTGAAGATGGCAAAGGTCATCTCAAACAAGCTGTCCCTGTCTCAGATGCAATGCTACTCGCTCTGGTCCCCTGTTGGCTTACCTGGCAACTGCCGTTCTGCTTGAGGTCCGATGTCCTCTCAATTCGCATCGCCTTCGTGGTGATACTCCCAGCTTCCACAGTCTTGCACCCGTCTGCCTGACCCGATGGACGGATGGCTTTTATCTGTTCCCACAAACCCGTTAATCCTGCATCCTAAACCCATAAAGCCCTGAACAAGAAAATCAAGCTAGGTAGTATGAATAAAGTATCACTGAAATCCAGAACATTGAAAACATAGGCAAGTCCCATTCAAAATGCAATACACATCCGAATATTCAAAATTATCGCCTACCCGACAACATAAAGTCAATAATCCTGGCCTAACTGTATGGACGTTTAAACTCCTTAGAATTAGAACGCAGCAATATCACTAAAATCCAGGACGTATTAAGCACATAGGCAAATCTCATACTTCATACAATGAAACTCTTAAGCTAAGGTGATACTCATCGCCGTGGTCTTCCCGCACGCGGCCAAAATTTGCATAAGTTGCTTACGTTTGTTTGCTGTATGCTGGAGAGTTCACAGGTCTTTCAGCATCTTGGAGTATCCGGCCATGGAGGAGTCAATGTCTGCTTGGACGGACTTCCTGGCAGATGAAGTCACCAACTTCCGGCAAGGCATCCCCCGATCCCAGGGAGCACCCCTTTTTGGGTAAATCGGCCCAAAATTTTGACCCGAAGCCTTCAGCCAATGCTCCACAATTTGATTTTCGTAGCTCAGGAGTTCGGCTAGACAGCAAGTGAATCGTGTCCTTTCATGGAACTGTACTTTAAGACATGACTTTTCTGCTCTTATGTTTACAGTATCTCGAGTTAACCATTGGCAACGATACGGCGAGCGTTAGTTCTTCCACGACACCCATTCTTATGACGCATGAGTGCGATAGTTTTCATCATTTTTGATACCTTGTCCTACAGTATTTGGCTCAACGATTGTTTTGCTTGGTTTGAGCTTATACCTCGAAACCTTCAGGAAACGAGGAGGCAGGAGAGTAGGATTGCAGGGCAACTGCAGCGAGGGTCGGGGGGCTTCGGTGGTCTTGCATGTTGCAACGCTATGGAAGGAACAAACTGCTGCAACGGACTGCAGGCTGCATGCACCACAGTGTCTGTGGACTGCAGCGAATGGGTTAGAGATGAACTCCTCGTGTTGAATATGTTTCGCCTCATGACGATGTTCGATATGTGAGAGAGTCCCTGAGTGGCTGTCAATATCGGGGGAACCGACTACTTTGCCTTGGGTGGCGAGTGCTAGGGTATTTCAGGGTCAATCACAGAGCATAAGGATTCTGGTGCTTCGAGCTGTTGCTTTTCGTGCCTGCGTAGCACGGGACGTTCGCAGTAGGACACGTGACATGTGCCTAGCATGAACCCCGAAGGCCGCACGTCTCAAGCTGAGCTGGATGATGTCGTCGAGCAGGGACCCTAAGCCGAGAGACAACAAAATAGAAATTGGAGTCATGTTTCCAATGCTCCCATCGCACGCAAATTCAAGTGTCTTCTGAAGCCAAGGCGCATGTCCGCCTTTTATCGGTCAGTCAGCTATGGTCCCTTTCTGGCCTGTTACTCCGATCACCGCACCAGCGCCACCCAGGAATTTGTAATCCACTTGCAATCAGCATGATTCGGCTGTTATTGTTTGACACCTCTCATGTCGATGTCCTCTCGAGCCGACTTGCAACGGGAGGAGCTCCTGGAGTGCGGAGGTGTGGGAAGTGTGAAGCTGGAATTCCAAACCGAGTTCTCCCGCCCCGAGCGTGGAGAGTTCCTCCTGGTCACCAGCGCCTCGATGGCTTCAGACTTGTGTTGCGGCGTCGCATTGTCGTACTGGAGATATGCCCGACGTTGTCCGACAAGTGCAGAAGCTGATTTCTGACTTGGAGGTGCCGGGAAGCTGGACGTGTTTTTCGACATGTCAGCTCCACAACGTCTCGAATCCTTGATGGCCATAAGCCTTATCGCTTTTAGCATCATCGCCATGCTGGTCTTTGGCTTCCTGCCTGCATGTGTTTCATTCTGTGGGTTGGAAAAGTTCTGCAAGGGCGAACTCTTGGGCTTCCTTCGTTGCAGGCACCTTTTTGAGCGAGAATATCTCCACCGTGGCCCAGCTTGAGACAGCAGGTTCGGACATCGACATTCGACATCTAGCTTTTTGGCGTCGCCCCCTTTTGGGGGGCGAGAAACTTCTGGAATGAGCTGAGATTGAGATTGAGCTTCTTAGGTGGCCATCGCGCCCATGGAGCGGATGCTGGACGTGGTGCGACACAGATGTGCTCAGATTTTCAAGTACACCGCCGAGCTGCAGGCGGAAGTCGGCCACTTCGTGCCCCAAATATGGCCTTAAGGAATAAACGCCAGGAGGGCTCTGAGAGCGAAGTCGAAGAGTCCGAGCACCCCGACGAGCACGAGGAGTTCTCAAGTCGGCCATTTAGTGAGTGCGAGAAAGAGAGGAGAGAGGCAGAGTGTTTCGAAGCCAAGCGCCCAACGGTGGTGGACCAGAACAGGCCGCAACGGGAGGGGTTTGCCCCCGTTGGGCGTGTGGAACGAAAGGGAGAGAGAGGGTCAGCCCTAGCATCCCAGAAGTCTTGTACCGCATGAAGTGCCCTGCTCGGGCTTTACTCGCTGTTTCCCTGCACAGTGAAGTGGGCAGCAAGGAATGCGGGATGTCCGTATTCGACACAGCAAGGAGAACCTCCTTCCCCATTCTTTCATATGTGCCTCGAGTTGCGCAGAATGAGAGCACCTGTGCGCGGGGTCAGTCTCGAGTTGTAAAGGTGCTCTCGAGAGGAGAAATGCAGGCAGCCACAGCCCCAACCCACAAGTCGTCGACACGGTCAGGAGAGTCAGAGCAACGAGTTCGAGCTGCTGGAGAAGGTGACCGTGCGCGAAGACTTTGCATCAAAGCCTCGTCAGCCTTGCTGTGCCACTGCAGCCCTCGGAGCAGGTTCGAGTTGCTGTGATGAATTCAATCCTGACCTGCTAGGCCGTGTCCAAGCTGTCCGCGATCGCGAGCTTGTCCGCCGCAGATTCTCCTAAAGAGCGCCGTTGCACAGTGTCGGGGTCCGTTGACGTCAGGTCGGACTATCTCTCCTGAGAGTCTTTGAATCGTTTGCTCTCCATGGTCAACCCCGTAGGAAACCACAGCACGTTTTGCGTGCCAGACTACTCGACGTACGACTAAGCTTGCTGATAGAAGTGTGTCCTGGATCTTTGGCCGGAGACCAAACCCCGAAAGCCTCAAACAACCTCAATCCCTGCATCATAGCCTCGACCAGAACCTGCCTGCAGGAGACGGAGCCGCTGAATGAAGACGACCTCTTGGTGCAATGCCCAGTGCATTCTGCAAGTACTGTAGCAGTTGGTAGTTTGAATTGTTCAGAACAATCCGCAGCCTAACCCCTTTAGTACTGCTTGGCCCCGGTCGCGAGTTCCCAGGTGATGAACTGGACGCATGGCCGCGGATTCATTACCTACGAGGTGGACTTCGGGACTCAGAACGTTCCAGCCAGGCCCGAGCCGCTGCTTCTATGGGTTCTCCACTTTTTGGCTAAGCGCTGATCCCCGACCGGGAACCCACATGTGCAAGTGTGCAAGGTTATGCTGTTTCTGTGAATACCCGGCTGAATGCAATTATCTTTCGGCCAGGTTGCGATCGCACCAGTTCAGCCAGAAGGCCGAACTCTTCCGTGCATCGCTCTCCGCATGTACACGTCCAGCACGTCCTCAGATGGCCTTGCTGTCGCAGGACGTGGTGGGCATCGAGTCGATGTACCAGCAGGTGCCCTCGGAGATGCTGGTCCTTTCCAGGACACGCCAAAAGCATGCACGCATGATGTGAGCGCGAGGCAGCAGACTCATCATCGCATGTCTTGGTATGGTGTAATGGCCAAGGGTTTTTGTGCCTTTCAGCGAAAGCATCGCGACAAATACAACGAAAGCAACGGGGCGCGGATCTTTTCACAGGACTGAGGACTTCAATCCCATGGAGCCGACGTCGAGCCAGCAGAAGGCCGGACAACTGATTGGTGGGCCCAGTTTTCTCGACTGAAAGTGCACCTCAACTGCAAGGCACTCTGTGTCATCCACTTGCTCGACAGCCCCGGGTGCAAGGACCACTGCACCTGGCATTTTAGGCACTGGTCTCTGGTCTGCACAAACTGTGGCACGTTTGAGCTTGTGCTCCCCTGTTGAAGGACTTCGTGCGTGGGTCGATCAACCCCGCCACCTTGATTCATTTTGTGGATGCAGCAGAAGCGCGTCCCGGCATCAACTTGTTGATATTCTCTGCCGATATGGCCTGTCTGGAAATGTCGTTCGCTGAGCTTAGGAACTACTCGCCTGTCCCCTTCCACAACTTCGGGCACAGTTTAGATGTCTTGTGTTCACTGTCTCTTCAATTGGAGCAGTCACAGGCGCCAAAGCAGGGTTTGGGATTAACGATTCTGGGCAGATGCCTGGATGTCCCCTGCGCAGGCACCTTTATTTCTGTCCAACGTTGAGCAGACACTCGGCCTGTTAGCTGTCAACTCTTGGAATGCCGGGGAGCCCCCCCTGAACCCGAAGAGCTCCCTTCTCCTCTTCCGAAGCTTGAAAGCCAAGGTTCGGGCTCCTGGTGGCAGCCGTGGGCCACGATCTGGGACACCCTGGAGTGAATAATCCCTTCTTGATCGAGCCGGGGCCCTGGGGCCTTAGGCCCGGTTGGGATTTACCGGAACTTTTTCATTCAATGGAAGCTCTGTGCGGCAAGGACGCGGCACGAGGTGGCCGTGACCTACAACGACAGGTCGCCACTGGAAAACATGCACTGCGCCCAGCTTTTCCAAATCCTCCGGCAGCCCGAGACAAACGTCTTCATGGCCCTGGACAAGGCTTTCACAACTCACCATGCCTGTACTGTGTTTTGTGGCGGTGGTGCAACGATGTGGTTGCATTTCAACGACATCTGTAGTGTTGTTATGACAGCTATGACCGTGTCCAAGGGGGCATTGAGCCATTCAGGGGGGCCGGAGTTTCTCCAAGACCTCGAATGTAAGCCCCTTCACGTCTCCTCTTTGCCGCATCACTGGGCTCCTGGGCTCCGAGACGTCGGTATCTCCACGAAGTTTCCAGGCTTCGGTGTCTCTAGGTGTAGCTTGCCGACAGGAGACCTATAAGGAGCTGAGAAAGGACCTCATCGAGGCCAGGGACCTCTCTTCTTTGGCACACATTTTGCAGTGCAAGTGGATTCCGGTCAAGCGGCAGGCCATCCTACACACTGACGTAACGAAACACAACGAGATGGTCAAGGAGCTCGTAAACACAGCCTAGCAACCTAGCACACGGCGCAGGTTAGCGAGATTGGCAGGATTTGGCTCTTTTCTACCAGATGAACTCGGACACGCTTAGCCTGAGGGAGATGCCCCAGGAGGACTCATGCAGTCCTTCTCCATCGGAGCATTGCGGATGCTTGTCCGCGAGGTTCGGGAGTTGCTACAATCCAATCGCAGCGGCTTGATGAACAGCCTGCTGCATTCAGCGGACGCACCCTGGCAAGCAGCAGGCTTCTCATAGCATTGGCAGCATTAGCCTGCAGTCCCTCCTAAAGGTGAACAACCCTGCAAAGCCGTGGCACGTTGCCAAGAAGTTGGCCTACCTATGCGTCTCAGCAGCAGATGCTGAGACTTGAGCAAGTCCTGCCCCATGTTTCTGTCCGGGCACAGGCATGGACGAGTTCTTTGCACAGGGCGACCGAGAGAAGGAGTTGAACATCCCCGTCGGGATGCTCAACGATCGTGACAAGGTCAACAGGCGCCAACGGCTGTGCATGAAATCGTTTGACAACTGAGAGACTTACAGATCTTCGTGATGCTTGGGCTTGAGAGATTTTTGCACTTTGCAGGGCGAACTCGCAGATCGGCTTCATCGAGTTCATGATTGCTCCTTTCATCGAGGCCTTGTACTCGGCTGGGGTTCTGCGGGCCGAATATGACAATATACACCTGTGCCGCGCAATCGCCATGCGTCGCCAATGCATTGCCGCCCAGGCTTTAGTCTCCGTTTTCCCTGGCCTCGATGACCTTGCTTCCAACACTTCTCAGATGCTTGGCCAGTGCTTGGCTTGCGTTGGCCTCCAGCTGTCAGATGCCTCCGCCATCCTGCAGCGTTGGCAGAGCGCATGTCGCATGTAGGGCCAGCAGATGCTGCCAGCTCCTGACTTTCTGGGCTCAGGAACATCGAGAACTGGGCGCGACTTTGGCAGGCCGAGGCCGCGAGATGGCGATCCGCATCTCAACGCCTTTTTGACCGTGTTGACGCCCGTTTTTTCTGACTGAAGGCAGCCCCTCCTCCGGAGCAGGCCGAGAAGGTGGCAATGCGTGTGCAAAAGGCTTGGGTGCTTCCGCGCTTTTGATGCCTAGACCTGGATCCATCACTGGTGTGCAGGTGGTGGTCAAGCTGAGTGATGCGGGTAGAAGAGGTTTGGCCTCACGAGCAGCGCGGAGCCTACGAATCGGATCTCTGCTGTTGAGCCGCGGACTCAGCGCTGTCACTGAGGTCACCAAAGACATGTGAGACCCGCACCTTTCTGCGACCACAGAGGCTGAAGGGCTGAAAACGGAGAATACAAGAGCAGGATAGAGCAGGCGCATGAGAAAGCAATCACATGCAACCATCATGATCATGATCATCATCATGATCATCGCCAGTGAGCATTTGCAACAACGAAGCTTTGTAACACGCTGCATCATGCCTCCTGCCGCTTGAAGCGGCAAGAGGTTTTCCCGCTACCCCAAAGTGGGAGCTACATGTCCATGGTCTTCCATGGGCTGTCATTGCGGCTGCTGTTGGGCAAAAAATAGGTTCAACACGAGTCAGAGGCCACGATGCAACAGTAACTATGTGAATCCCTTCACGCAACAGGCAGGTCACATGCGCAATGCGCACGTTGAGAGTAGAGCCTTTGCGCAGCTGCTACAGGCGTGCCGAAGCATAGAACAGACGGAGCAATAAAGAACAGCGGAGACACATGAGCCTCAGAGCCTGACGTAGCAGAGAATGAGGAGTAGGAGTAGTTGCATACCCTCACTGACACCTCAGCTGCTGGAGTAGGGCTAAGGGCTCCCTCCGGCTCGCCTTTGGAGCAGTTTGCCAGAATCTGTCTCGCATGTGTTTCCCTCCGCCTGGTCATGAAGCTCTGGAAGTTTCGGATTCCGATGGCTTTGGCATTGCTCCCTTGGCTGATCGTAGTGGTCGGGGCGGAAGAACGTACCAAGAATCAAGTTTATCACAAACTGCCGGGAACGGCAGACTACGAGCTCATCAGTGCGTACGAAGATCTGGTTACCATGGTTACTAGCAACATGCCACTGGGCTTGCAGGACCTACCGAGAAGGATGATCTTGTTCAGTGCTTGGTACATTGCATCCCGAAGCCTGCACAGCGCTTTTGCGGGTGGAGTCTGCTCGTGCCGGGGGCAGGGCCCCGAGTCCTTACAAGGCTTCATTCGCACCAGAATCTGCAAACTGGATCCTGACGCTATGGAGACCATCAGTCCATTCCTCTTTGGTGAAAATGAGCCAAGTCAAGAGTTGACGCCTGCGGAGCTTTGGGGCCATGTGGCCAAGAGATCTTTATACCTTGCCGAGATCGGTCGAACTTACGCAGGTGTCACGGCAGATGCCGCTTTTCAAGCCTCTCTGATTTCTTTGGCGCACCTCGCCGCTTCGCTGCCTGAGCCTCTCGGATCAAGATTCCTGTCTTGACGAGTTCGGTGCATGCCTCTGCTGAACAGGTTGGGCACGAGCTGGATGAGTGGAAGGCCGCCCAGACTCGTGTGGGGCGCTGAGTCTCATCCACAAGTGTTCGGCAAGTCGGAAGTCTTCGTGCGAAAGTCTTTGTGATTCTGAGGTTGCCCCACTGCAGCTCGGATGACTTCGAAGACGCCTTCTGGTGGGAAGGAGTGTCTTCTCACAACAGCGAGCACTGGCTCCTTGCGCTCTTGGACAAGCTTGGTGAGAGCTCGCACCTGGCGGTGGCCTTGCAATCATCTCCAAGTGTTCGACTTGCCGAGGAAGGATGCACAGTGAATCCAAACATGCTTCTACTGCAAGATCCAGTCCAGTGTTTGCTAGATTCCGGTGGCTGGGATGCCGTGCTCATGGTGGATGGCTTGGACAACTTCTCGGCTGTAAGCGCCGAACAGGGCCGTATATCGGGGACTGCCGTGAATGAAACCTTCCGCTTAGACTGGGACAAGGAGGGCAAAGTGACAAGTTTCAAGTTCGGGAAAATAGTACGGAATCCAAGGCGTGCAGCTTGAATAAATTCAGAGCTGTGGGGAGCAATTGCAGGCTTTAAGGGTCCGGTATGCTTGCAGCTCAGAGAATCTAAGGGCGGCCGGGCTTCGATGCTCCCAAGAACGGCTGACATTTTGGTGGTTTCGCCTCAGGCTGGAAATTGCTTTGATGCGGCCGAGATGATTCCTCCCGTGCGAAGCAGTGTTCGCCTCGTCATTCTCTCCATCAACCCCCTCTACGCTCCTCCGACACGTGTCATGCCAAACTTCGAGGAGACCTTGCCACAGCGGAAAGGCTTGGCGGATCTCAAGCCCACTGACAGACACAAACTGCAACGGCTCCTCTTCCTGACACAGTGCTCCCTTCAAAGTGCGGTAGACCTAATGGCACCACGCTTTGTCCTGCTGTTCGTGGACGGAGCTCGAGCTGTTTTTGCTGAGAAGTCTATCGCTCCTTCTTTGCATTTGAGCTTGATTGACTATGCATGAGGGATCTAGCAACAGCGACGCCAACCGGGTCTGGATGGTTTTTGCGTCGTTAGAGTGAGGTGGGCCACTACTGCACCCCGATCCAGAGCGGAGAAGCTTGTGCCCCTCTAGAATTGCTTTGGCACCGCGGGGCAAGCTGCGCACCGGCGATATTGCAGCTGATTCCAACGGAGAGGGAGGAGCAATTGAAAGAGGCGAGGCCATTTTGGGCCTCCCGTTAGTGTCCCTTCCCTCCAAAGCAGTCTTTGCAAGAAAGCATCCCGGTTTGTAACCTTCCATGGATCCAGGGATTCGCTTGTTTGAGTTCAGACTGTCAGAGTGCCTTGTCGGGAGAAGCCCTCGTACACTCGCTGCGATGCTTGTCGCGTGGCGGATGGTGTAGTCAAGTGAGAAGACAGGCGGAGTTCCTGGCCGAGTCCACTTGGCCTTGCGAGGACTACGTCGTGCCTGAGCAGAAAGGAGTTGAAGTTGGAGCATGAACATGCTGTTTTTGCTTGACTACCGTGATTAGCGTAGTTGTTCATCCAACACTGTGTGTTTGCTGACTTTCCGGGGCATTTGGGATATATGTATGCGTGAGTCTACATTATGACATAGGTCGTAAGGCGGCGAAACCGTGCATGTGCAACAGTGCCTCCCCGTTGTGGCCACAGATGTTCAAATTACCCGAACCGTGCTTGTGCAGGCGCTTCTTCAGATGGATGGGTGTTTATGTGTGTTTGTCAGTGTGTATGTGCCGATGTGATAGGCGTATGTACAATGTGGACCGGTCTGTACATGCATGTGCCTGCATGCACATCTGCCCATGTTCTGTTTATCGTTATTGCCAATCCATGCCTGTAGTTGCCAGTGTAGTAAGCCTCACTGTCTGAGGCCATGGACTTGCCGGAAGTTTCTCTGGATATGTTGGAGAAGCCGCAGTTCCTGAACAAGCAGCGTCCCCAGCAAAGCTCAGTCAGGCCAAGCGCTTTGGTTGGAATGCACACTTGGAAATGCAGATCTTGCAGGGACTTCTACGTCGACGGCATGCCGCAGTGCCGCACGGCGACCTCACACCAGGTGGGGCCAGCTATGGCGCACACGAGGGAATCACGGAAGCCGACAGAGCTGCAGGTATTTGAACCGGCATCCTGGCCACATACGCCGGGTCGCTGGGCGCTTACGACCTGGGGCCTGGGGTTGTAAGTCTGACGTGTCGTGCA